CATTTTAGTTTAGGATTATTAATCGAATGAATAATTAATCCAACAAATTTGTAGGATTATTAGTAATGGGCTAGGGGTGGGATTATTAATCCAATGAATAATTTATCCTATTAATTCAATTGGATAGTGAATACCACACTAATTTAATAGAATTATTAATACCTCACGATTAAGCTTGTGAATCAAACATGGTCTATATATACACACGAACACACGCGCAAGCGCGCGCACAGAGAGAGGCTAACCTGGTACAACGATGAAGAGAGCCGAAGATGAAGTGAATGGAGATGGAGATTGTGGCTAGGGTTTCGTTACTGAATGGGAGTGTAGAGAGTGAGGAGATACAACGATGAAGAGCAACTAATCTAACTATGGGGAGTCAAATGAAGAGAGCAACGATCTGCTCAAAAAAAATAATAATAATAAAATAAAAAATAAAAATGAAGAGAGCAACAATGAAAAGGAAGCCAAATCAATTTAGCAACCCCCTCCCCCCCCCCTCTTTTTTTCTTTTTTTTTCTTTTTTTAATTTTGAGAACATAAAGTGACAGTTTATTAAGGTTTCTTTTAGCAAATTTTCTGTGACCACAACAAGTTGGTCACCAAGGGTGTGTTTGTTTTGAAGGATTAGGGCGTGGGATTGGACTATTAGTCCCACCGGACTAATAGTCCATTGTTTGTTTTCAATTTTTTTTGCTCCGGACTAATAGTCCTCCCGAACTATTAGTCCCATATTTGTGGGACTATCCTATCCCATAGGGGGTGGGATTATTTCCATGGGATTTGTATCACAAGGGATTAGGTTCTGAAATGTCCATTTTACCCCCATGCTATTACTTAGCAAACAATTAGAAAAGGGTAAAATAGTCTTTTGAACATTTATAAATTATTTTTTTAGTGTTTTTAATTTAAAATTATATATTAAATAAAAAATTTAAATTATAAATTATAAATTAAATTTAATTAAAAATAATAAATTAAAAATTATGGCCTTATAAATTAAATTTTTTTAGTGTTGTTAAATTATAGATTACAAATTTAAAATTATATATTAAATAAAAATTATAAATTACAAGGGTAAAATAGTCTTTCGAACATTTATCCTTATCCAGTCCGTCTAACCAAACATTGGATTCACTAAAAATAGTCTAATTCAGACATCTAATTCCATGACTAAACAAACATAGGATACAAATCCAATCCAATCCAATCAAATAGTCCAGGTACAATTTATCCCGGGACTAACAGTCTGATGGATTACAATCCCTTCTTATCCAGTCTGTCCAAACAAACACACCCCAAAGGTTTTGACATCCTGTTTGTTTTTTTTCTTCTCCCGCCATTACTTTTCGCGACCATATTTTATATTTTGGTCAAAAAAAATTACCTATTAGCCACCAAAAAGTTGTTGGTCACGAAAACACCACCCATCAGTGTCCAAAAAAATGTTAGACGCAGAAAGTAGACCATCTGCGATCAACTCAAAAAAGGTGGTCGCCAAAAGTATTTTTTCTTGTAGTGATATTAAATATGAAATTATGCATATAAAAAAATAAACTTAGAAATTTGTGGAATTTCTCGGTTTCTCAAATTTGAGAAAATTCTCAGTTTTACAAAAATTGCGAAAGTTCTTAATTTTACAAAACCAATACAATGTTATTAAGACAGATATTTCAATTATTTTTAGTGTCAAACTTTTATTTTATTTTATTTATTTATTTTTTGACCAAGAAAATAAATTTTATTAATAATGAAAACAGTATAAGATGAAGGCTTGGCTGAAAAGCATCATAGTTCAAATATACATCCTAATTAGGTTGACACCTATATAAGAACGCAATCATGTGCTAACCAAAGCCAAAGGAAAGGAGTTGATAAGAACTCAGCTAAAGAGTTGCAACAAAGAATACAAGCATAATACAACTATCAGCCCTTGATCTTAAGTTTCCAACTCTTAATCCCATCCAAACAGTGCACAAAATTTGGATTGAGTAGTCAATCAGGTTAAATGAATGCTTCACCGAAACTGCCTGTAACGCCCTCAAAATAATAACATTAATCCATCAATATAGACATGCATTGATATATAAAAGTTCCACATTCTTCTGTTCATCAGAGTTTCATTACAAAAGTATTACATGTTAACAACAAAAGCAAATGCCCTACGGGCTTACAGCTTTCCAAGTTAACACTTGGTTACAACAAAAGAGTGCTAACTCATTTACACATTAAGCCCTTGGCTTGAATATACATGTAATACATCAAGAAATAAAACAACAAAAGTCTGCCTACCTCTAGCCTCCCAAGCTATGTCCTTGGAGGTGGCATGCTACCTGTACCTGAAAATGATATTCCCATATAGGGTGAGCCACAGCCCAGTAGAAATACACTAAACCAACCATGAACAATGACTAAAAGATTAGCAATTGATAGATGGCCAACACTAATACATTCACATAAATCACATATTTATGCCACACGACT